ATAAGAATGTTTCGGTCCATATGATTGTAGCATAGAAGTAATATGAACTTAAATAGGGCAAGAATAAAACGAACTATGTAGTGCAAGATGCAGAAATTTCAGTTGATTTTGACCCATTTTCAATGATTTTTGGGTTGATCTAGCAAATTTTCGAGTTTTTTTTGACTCAGTTTGACTGTTTTGCTCTCCTCTGCTTTATTTGGTATCCCAAATTTTGAGCGTTCTGCTCTGCAACAGTTTTGTGGATCGTGGTATTATTGTTGGTATGTTACGTCGTTTTTCACGTGTTTTTCCATAGATTTGTGTGCAAGAATCAGCCGTAATAATACCGTTGTCTGCTTCTCCAGATATGCAAATTGTTGTTAGATTTAGGTCAGTTCCAGATGTCATTGGTGTATGCTGAGCATCATCATCATCGTCTTGTCTTTTGAACGTTTTCACTCCTAGACCTCAATGAGTGGTACCTCTGATTCACTTGGCCATTTCCACGCCTAGCTAGCATTTGCGACATATTGCTCCTCGAAGTTCGGGAAGTTAATTGTCTACGCGGTATTTGGACAGGGAACATTCTGCTAAAATTTCAGCTTTCCAACTTCTGCCAAAAAATTTCAACTTTTGCCAAGTTAGCAATTTTCCTACCAAAAAATTTCAGGGGTTGACAGTAACACTTAATTTTGCGCTGTTTGTGTGGAAGAAAATCTTGCGCAATGAATGAAAAAAAAAACCGTGGTTTTTCATCCAGTAAAATTTTTTGTATAATAAATTCCGTGAGGAAAATCTTGTGTAAAAAAAGTCAGGTTTTTTTTAATCAAATTTTTTTTGAAAACTTTTCGAATTAACAAAATTTTTGTACAAATTAGTTAGTACGCTTCTGTTTTTAGGAGATGGTGCGATTTTTTAGAGAGCTTGAATTCCTTGTTTTGCGCATAAATCATATACCTAAAATGAGTACCGATTTGCACTTATGCCATGACTGAGGGCATTTCGAAGATATTTGTAGCGAGGGTGCTTGAACTCCTTGTATTCCGCGCATAACGTGCACGTAATTCTATTTCATCCAGAAATAAAAAAGGGATAGAATCTTTAGGTCTTTCAGGGCTCGCGATGTCTGCTCATGACAGTGACGATGGCCCGTTACGACCTGTTTATAATCCGTGTCGACCACCCTGGATTGGTTATTGGAATAAACGCTGGGAAAATCGTGATAAGTATGTTTTTATTTAAAAAAAATCACCCTTTTGATAAAGAAAAAAATCGCTATTTAAAAAAAAATCACTGTTTTTATTAAAAGAATGATTTTTCGAATAATGATAAGCAGGAGGAATAGCATGCAAGCGCTGTGGGATGAACCAAACTTTGAGTTAAAGTGTCAAGCGTTGAGTTAAAGCGTAAGTAGTAGGAGGTGATTGTTATTATATAACGATACATAGTAGTAGAGAGGAGAAATGTAACGGAAGTAATAGAATAGGAGATAAGGGATAATCCAATTATCACGTGTAAT